CCTTTCTTGATCTTGCCCCATCTTCTGCTGCCAGACATTACGTTTTGCAACTCGCGTCATATACTATTTACATCAATATGAGTAGCACGCACCACACCGTGACCCAATAGATTAATACTTAAAAAGAAATATCTATGCTAATTACTTTTCACACATTTCTTGAGCACATAAAGATGATATTGAAGTTTGCTTTCACCAAATAAAAACATAACAAATTCTTATTGATATACATATCAGGAGAAGTAAGTATTTCTCAGTGTTTCGCTTACAGGCCCAATTTTTTCTCTCTATAAATGTACAGCATACGTTTTAATAGACCAAGCGCTAAATCGTTCAAACGGATTTATCCACAGTCTCATTTTATGTACTTTCTCAGAATAATACTATAACATCAATACAATAAATAAACTCTTACTTCCAATCATATATGTTTATAAGGATAATGAGACTAAGCATCATTTTATTGAAGGTTATTGACTTATTTACATACAAAAGTATCTATAATTGTACATATTCAATGATGAAGTAACTAGTTAATAAGTGATTATTTAGAATAGAAGGGAACTTCACAATATACATTGAAAATAACTTAAGCTCAACTCACTCTAAATTGAAGATAACTGAAATATATGTATATATATATTGGTAACTATGTTGTTATGCTTACGTGGATAACTCTGCTATCGTGATTAGTTGGTACCATGTTAAATCAAGATCAGAATACATAACTGACCATTTTTCTAAATGTTTTATACATCATGTAAGATATTATTGAAGATTTGACTAACTCATTGTGAAACTACCTTACAATATCGAATTCCTGGTATATTGACGGCTACATTTCTGTTGGATAACACCATTCAACAGCCGATATACATTTTATAAATATTGATCAAACTACAAGTAGACAACATGTGAAATACATTGAAATAACAATTGGAAGAACAAATAAATATAATTGTTTCCCTTTACAGATTTAGCTTCATTTAAATAGCTAATAATATACTTCATGAAATACAAATCAGTATCAATAATTCCTTCCAGCACAAGCTAGTCAACATGTAGACAGTAAAAATAAAATAATTTCATTCATAAACGAAACCGATGAGACTATAATTTATGGACGACTTTTGAGAGACGCCAGACTGACCTTGAGAATGTCCACCTAATATCTAAGACCAAATGAGGGTTATAAACCTGTGTGAGGAATTAGAATTATGATTTACAATTGATTGTTAAGGTTACGAATTAGATTTAGGGTTTTCATCACGAAATGATATCAGCTATAATGCCAAAATTCTATTTATCCAAATGGATGAGTAAATTTCGCGCCAGTATAAGAGACCTGTTATCTTATACCTGATTGGTTCGTTCATAAATTATAGTCTCACCATGAAATCATCTCGTTTCTTCAATCCATTAGGTTTATCATATAAGTTGAAATAGTTGTTCAGGGCTGCTTGCTTTGTATTTTGCTCTGTTTTATTTTATTTTATAATGACAAATTAGAGATAAATGATCATAACATGATATCTACAAACTGTTGATTTCCATTTTTTTTCTATTACAAAAGTAAACCTAATGTCCATTGACTGAATTTGGTCTTTTCATATCTGAATACTGTCAGTAATTATATTTCTATATTTGTTATAACGGTTGGTTTTCCCACGTTTACACGTATGGGACGTTAATTTACCTTAGACGAATATCTACACTAGATTCCCTCCCAGTATTCTACTCTACAGGACCTCAACACAACTCAGATCGAAAACACGTGATTAACCTGACTAGAATGTAAACATATTTCAACACCGAAATCCGACACAATCCAACAACAATGAACAATCAGTGATAATAATTATAAGGATATGGGAATATATAACACATGTGACACCTGTCAAACTATCTACATGTTTGACTAAGCAGACAACAAATCATTATCATTCTCACCCACACATAAATATTCTTTACCGCTACATAGTTTTCTTCAAGAATAGATAGTAAGGTTTTCACATGATTACAACCAATGTGAAAAACTACTATCATATTCAATTGCAAACATTTGTGCTAAAACAATATTTACTGAAGTTTAAGTCTTTCAGTTATACGGTATTCCACTTGCTTATTTCTATTCGTTCCACGAACTAGTAACTTAGTGAATTGAAAATATCATAAAAATTATTGGTTCATGAATGACCTAATCAACTTATTTTGTTCGCAACATCTCTGATTAGAGATAAATAAGACATGGTTTTTGAGCAGTTTCATTCTTGTAATAAGGTTTCTCTCAATCGAAGTAATAAAAAACTAAGTATAACCGATATGACTGGTTCAGCTGTTTTATAAACGGTTAACATAACTTTATAGGAATTACCACAAAGAATGCATGTAATCTATTATGTAACAAAATATGTTTTACATTATTTCAACAGGATATTAGCCATGAAAATATTATATTGGTAAGCATCCTAAGCGTTTTCAAAAGTACTACCTCCAGTTCCTGTTCGTCCTAAAATTAAAATCAATAATGAAGATATTTATTTTGAGAATTACATACCGAAATTATTAGTCAGAATATATTTGAAATACAGGCGGTAAACAGTCACGTATTTAACCACAAACAACTTCAGTTGATGAAATCATGAACCGATTTAATTTAGACCATCAGGTTTTCAGTGATCGTCCTTTCGTGATCTCAATGAAAGTCAACAATTTCCCTTTCTCCTAACTGACAATCTCAGTGAGATATTTTATCACATCATAAGTCTATATATCTGTTAGGTAGTGTTTTCTGTTTAAGTTTTCTGTGCAATGAATTAATAGCTATTTGTTACCCCCAAAAAATCCATCGTTTCCATACACGTGTTACATCAATGGTTATCATCCAACCTGAATATAAAGCATCGCTATTGTAATGACAGCAGATACTTTAGCTTATAAACTTATTATGCTAATAATAAACCAACTTAAAGTTCATACTCAGTATCTGGTTTATTTTCAATTTGAAAGAACAGTTCAAATGTCATTTATTTCCAGTAAATAATCTTAATACAGTACGAAGCATTTGGTAGCCAGACTTGGATTTATTAGATCATAAATTAATTATATTATGGATATTATGGATAAAAATGTGGAACAAAATTGAAAGATTCAACAATAATTAGATGTTGAACAGTTGAATAACAGTAAATAATCGACATTGTCAAGGTCACATGAATAACTGATTACATTACTACGTAAACCTACAACATTTCTGTGTATTTTACACTTAAGAAAACGAAGGCATTTTTGTGGTATGATTGGAAAAGTAAAATATTTAACTACATCTACAGGCGTACTGAATCTGACGTTTAACAGATAGTTAAGACTATTATTCAACCAGGTCTGTTGTGAGATAGTAACTCACTGAAGACAATGGTGAATGTGTTGCTCGATTTCGTGGATTCGTTGAAGTTAAACATTAACACAGTTGGATGCCGGCTCAGTGGTTTAGTGGTTAAGTGCTTGCGCGCGAAACCAGTGTGTCCTGGGTTCGAATATCACAGGGGGCGAGGTCGTGGATGCGCACTGCTGAGGAGTCCCACAATAGGACGAAACGGCCGTCCAGTGCTTCCAGGTTTTCAATGGTGATCTAGCTTCATTTGACTCATGATCTTAACCATTGAAATTACTATTATTTGATATTAGGCTATCCAATGTAATGTAAACTGAGATGTTATATGAACATAGCACTAAAATGTATCATCTTCTAAACAATATACTATGAATTACAGTATTGCTGAAACCTCTTAGGAAAAACTCCTTCAAACTAATCTTAAATAACAATTGACTGTTTACACTCAACTATATATTCTATGGATAAGTTTAATGTAAGTTGTTAAATAATATAAACTTTTTCTAAAATTTTACTTTAACACATAATTGTCAAGACGTACCATTCACTTCTTGTAATATGATCACTGAAAGTAAAAACAAAGATCGCAGTAAAATTCTATTGAAATCCATACGATTAATGAATCTAACTACTATACCGTCGTTTAATCTTCGGTATTAATAAATAAATAGTGACTGCAGTATAAATAGGTAATCTAGATCATTATTATGTCAGCCAATCATTTAGTAACCAATGAAAAGTGTTGGCTAAACAAAGTGTGTTCTATTTTTACTTCCTAAAATCAATCCATTGAATACAACATCATGAGAAACAATAAAGTACTAATTGTACATTTCGTTACATTTAGAGCATATAAACAATCTCAAACATAAGCATATATATACACACACACATGCAAAACAAAGCAACTCATATTACAATTGATCAAAAGACTTAATTATGCAAATTATATTGCCATCAGGCAAAATCATACAACTAATAAATCAATATACAATTTCGGATTGAGATTCCTTTTCACTTCTTCCATTTACAATTTAGAATAAGAGTTGTGAACATGACAAGAGTAAAATTGTATTTTCAGATATTGGCTAGCAATCGTATCTGGGATTTATGTTTTGTTTTCTTTGAAATCTTCATTTTAGTATTCATATTCTCAGTATTCGTTTATATCGAATCTCTTTTAACGAAGACAGATCCTGTATGAAATCGATTAGATCATGTTGTGTTTTGCAGTGCCCAATTTTAATAATGATGTTCAATCAACCCATATATGAGTGCAACCATCTATTCGAGTGAAAAGACTCAAATTAAGAAAAAAAGTTTATTGACTAACCGAACCAGAACATGTTTCTTAAAAAAACTCAGTCACCAATGATCTATTTATTATTTTTGGGAGATTTTAACTATTTCTTGTCTAATAACGTATACTTATCATTTTATCGACTTTTGATTGATCCAATGTATCAGTTAACGTGTAAAGGTACAAATACAAATATTTACCTGTTTGTAAATGCCTTTTATTCATAATCAATGGTGAATACAAACTTTGCCAAAAATGCTCTAGGGATATCTATATACAATAATGTACTCTTTTCCATCGACCTACATTAATTTCAACATCAACGCCAATATTCCTTGAAAGAATTAGTGGTAGGCTTATTAGACTGTAACTTCATATCTTGAAATAAGAGTTGATTGGAGTTTCATTACTAACCAACATCATTTGGAGAATTATTAGAAAAACATGAATGAAGATATACATATGGTAATATTAGTTAGCCCCTCTACAGTTGGCACCCGATGCATCCACGTAGAACTGAACGTAGGATCTCATATGACTCGAAGGCATGACTTTCAGGTTTCGTAATTGCTGCGATAGCATATTTATCAATGATCAATATTTCGAACTTCGGTCCACTGTCGAGGTGACGAAATTTGTAATGAAGCAGTTCTTGATCAAAATTACCATAAATTGCTGATAAGATCAATTAGAAGCGTTCTAACGTGATCATGGTGATCATAGTATCTAGGTTCCAGCTAAATATGGGAAGTAGATGAGTAAGAGCGAAATGTATGATTTGTAGGATGCAGAGTTAATTCAATGAAAAAAAATTATTCACAGACATTGAAACTGACTTTATTATTTTGATGGAGTTTTGTTCTCTGAGCTGGATGGTTTGGTCGTGGAGCTTTCATCGTTCTTCTGAACGACATCATCAGCACAAACTTCAGATAGAAGTGAAGTGTTCGATTTTCTCCTTCTGTGTTTCACAGCTTGTTCTGTGCACCTCGATGTTGATTGGTTCTTGTTGACCTTAAATTTATCATTGTTCACTTCTTTGTTTTGGTTGTGTCTCCCATTGTTTTGATTTTTGTTCTTATATATATGCATGATTTTCCTGATTGGTTGAAAGCTCCACGACCAAACCATCCAGCTCAGAGAACAAAACTCCATCAAAATCATCCACCTGAGCTACAAATCTTCTCCACTGACTTTATTATTTTTTAGGCCTAACAATAACCTTTCGTGGAATCACATTTCGTTTCTAAAGTATTCACTTCTGATAATTTGCAATTAATGTACAAAGTTACTTTCAAAGAGTTTGAGATATTTAAATTAGTCAACTCATCTATAGAAGTCAAGTAATATTATAAATTAATGATATGATATTTCGTTTCATTTAGGATCTACAGTTCCGATATTCAACATCAGCTATTTTTCTGACGAGATTTTTCTCACCGATTGATTTCTTTGCTCTCGCTTCTCGTTGTTTCGGTACGGATATACGTATTTTGTAGTCTCCAACGAGTGATAGTACAGTTACTTGACTGCATTAATTCTAGTAAGTATGATATTTGCTTGTGGACTTGTATATCTTGTGTTTTGAGGGAGTTTGTCTTAGAGCAACGAGGATCCTGAAAACCAGCAGCTATCACATAACATGAAGGAGGTTGGTTGTTTGTGATCATAAAAATGATTAAGTGTTTATTCGAGTGCTAAAAGTAGACGATTGTCCCAAAAAATAAATAAGTTAACTAATTGGTAATTTGTGATAAGACCGAATTGAAAGAGCAAAAGGGTAGGCGTAAATGATAATGAGAGAGATTGGAATTAGTTACTGATATGTGTTAATGATGATCGTGTTAAATTATTGGACAGGCTCCAGACACAGCTGATACGTGAGGGAGATGGTAATCTACGTGTCAGCACCTGTTCATCAAGTCTCCTCTTAAAGCTATCCACTCATGGGGCTGTGATCACTTCAGTTGGGAAAGCATCTCGAACAGGGGCAACTCTTGTTCAGAAAAGTGAAAGCATACCTGGATATTCGCTTACTAAAACAACAGTTACAGTCATTTAATGTTAAATATAAATACAGTGGAAGGTTGACAAAATAAATACAAATAACATTGAAAAGTATTTACAAAATAAACTTGTCAGTCATATCTCCACATAGCTCCCCCCAGAGTGTCCGGAGTTAGCACTGGTTATAATGAAAAAAACAATGTAAGGATATGATATATACATGTATACAAGAATAATATTTACAGTTATAGCTAACAAAAATGTGGAGATGAGTATGACATGTAGCAGAGATGTAGCATAGCATAATAAACACACAAAAAAAAATGAAGACACTGTCATTTAATGTCTTGGTTGGCTAACAATGATAATAATAAAGTGCAAAACTACTAATGACCCAAAAGAAAAATTGAACTGTTCATTTTTGTGTACAATAAATGAGAAATTAAATAGAGTTTACTCGTTTATTATAGTAACAAAAATTTTTTTATAAAAACAATAAATGTGACAAAACGAATAATTGTGGAAAAATGTGATTATGTACACTGTGAGATGGAAAAAAAGTTTTTTTTTGGTGAAATTAGTAGCGTGTGACATCGGTCGGTGTGTGCTTTGTTGTTTCTTTTTTAATCGACGAAATGGACATAACGCTTAGGTTTGTTTATAAGTCTACCGGAGCGTGTTAAACAAGAAGGCTAGGTATTAGGTTTTTTATCCTCCACTGGGTTTTCAGTCACTGTTGGGAGGGGTTGTTTGTCAACGGCGTTGTCTTCTTGGACTTGAGTAGCTTCATAGAAAGCAGGTTTGATTCTGTCTATAGAAATGGTGTAAGATCCATTTTGAATGTGTTGTGTGTTGGTGAAAATCCCTCCATGTATATACTTGTACTTTATTCCTATTGATCACATTAGTTGTACATTGTTGTATTTTGATTACATTTGAATTGTTAATATTTGTATTTTTGTTATAGTTTCTGTTTTTATTACGCATTCACTAAGTTTGTGTTTCTTCCTGAACTGCATCTGCGTTGTTTTACTTGACACTTGTTCTTGGCGGTAGCCATATTGATTTGTTCCTCCTGTTGTGTGTGATCTATCCAGTCAGGATAGAATAACGTCCATTTGTTGTGATTGGTAATTTTTCCTCATCTTCTATCAACTTCTTTATTTATTGTAATTTAGATTTAATTGATTGAACAATCATTGGTTGAATAGCCGGGTGATAATATTTGTTTAGGTAATGATTTACATTAAATTTATTATGAATTATAGAACCGCTAGTTACCCGATTACTTGTTCTGATTTCGACGGGAAAGGGCGCGTGTCTAAAGTCCCCGGTAGGCTATTCTTCTACATCCAAACCGTAGTTTGGATCCTACAATAGTCTGCTTGTTGCCATCTCTGTTGATGATGAAGTATTTTTGTGTGCGTTTAATTACTTTATATGGGCCTTTGTATGGTTGTTTTAATGGTTTTTAACCGCATCTACTCGGACGGAGACAAATTTGCACGTTCAAGGTTATTATCAAGTTGGACTCGATTGTTGTGTACACGAGGGGATATTGCTTTAATATTCTGCATCGTTTGTAATAGACGAAGTAAGTAGAATCCCCGTGCGTTGTAGGTTCATAGTTGACTAGTTGACCAGGTGACGTTAGAGTTGTACCGTAGACTAACTCAGCGGCTGTACATCCAATGTCTTCCTTTATGGTTGGACGAGTACCGATGAGTACAAGCGGTAAGGACAGATTGAAATTGGGGACCACGATCTTGTGTGATTATTGATGGTACTCCATAGTTAGATATCCAGCGGTCGAGGAAGCCTGAAGCGACTGTTTCTGCCGAAGTGTCTTTTATGGGGCAGGCTATGGCCCATCTAGTAAACCTGTCTACTGCGGTGAGAATGTGAGTGAAGGAATTAGTCAGAGGCAATGGCCCAACTAAGTCCAAATGAATATGTTGAAAACGTTTGTCGGCAATAGGGAATTCCCCGATCGGGCTGATAGTGTGTTTTTGATTTTGCTGCGTTGGCACTGTAAGCAGCCACGTGTCCAACGTTTAACATCCGAATTGATTTTTGGCCAAACAAAGCGTTCTGTGATAAGCTTCGTGGTAGCTCTGATGCCTGGATGCGACAGTCCATGTAGCTGTTGAAATATTTTTCGTCGACAGGGTTGTGGCACAAAGGGGCGATTATTACCCGTTGAAGTGTCGCAAATAATAGATGCATCTGAGAAAGGAATGGGTACAGGTTTAAGATTCAAGTTAGACTTCCGTTTGCAGGTCTTCAAATCTGGATCGTCCATTTGTAGTTTAGCTAAAGCTTCAAGGCTAATGTTGTGGTTGTGTACCATCTTGTTGATATCCTTTCCAGATAGAGCGTCAGCGACAATGTTGGAGGAGCCTTTGATGAACTGGATGTCCGTAGTGAATTGAGAAACGTAATCCAGTTTTCTGGCTTCCCGTGAAGAATGTTTGTCGTAGGACGTGTTGAAAGAATAGCAAAGTGGTTTATGATCAGTCATAATGGGGAAATCACGTCCCTGAAGCAGGAAGTTGAAGTGTTTTACAGCTAAGTACATAGCCAGAAGTTCGCGTTCGAAGGTGCTACAACGCTCTTGAGTTGGTGATAATCGTTTGGAAAAGAACGCTATAGGAGTAATCTTGTCGTTAACGCATTGCTGTAATACTGTTACTACTGCTTTCTGGGAGGCGTCAGTGCAGAGGATGAGGTTTGTTGTGGGGTCGGTGTTTAGGTGCTGTAGCATGATATCATTGGATATCATCCATTTTGCTTTAGGGTAAGCCTCTCTGGCCTCAGGTGTTGACGTGAAGGTATTCTCTTTTTTGGTCTGAGCTTCGGTTTTATCTGTCTTCAGTAAATCCGTCAAAGGTTGCAAAATGGCCGCACAGCTAGGGAGAAAACGTCGGTAAAAATTGCACATTCCCAGGAACCGGCGTGATGCACTCGTATTCTGACAGAATGTCGTTGAAAACGTTGTTCGCAGGTTTCATTATCCGTACACCATGGATTTCATAGTCGTTGGAAGGTGTACCATCTATCTGTAAACATGTATTTGCGTCGATTAATCTCTTTATGGTCATATCTTCCAACAAATTATAGGCACTGAGGAAATCAGCTCCGAGGATGGGTCGTTTGACTTCGGCAACTATGAAAACCCATGTGAATCGTCTTCGGAGTCCGAGGTCTAATATAAGAGATTGCTCTCCATAATTTTTGATAATTGATTCGTTAGCCGCAATGAGTGACAGCTTAGTGTTTGTTGTCTCCGGGAGAGGTGAAGTGGGATAATGCTAATTTCTGCTCCTGTATCGACTAAAATATCCGAGCCAGAAATGTGATCCCTGATGTGAAAGAGGCGGCTAACTTGTTGGCCAGTAACAGACGCCGCCATTACTATCTGGCCGGCTCGTTTTCCTGATAATCTGGCTTGTTTGTCGTAAAGTTGCACGGTTTAGTGCAACGACGTGCCTTCTCCCTGAAAGTCGCATGATACCAGCAAGTGTCCGCTGCTCGTTTGGATGACCTATTGCGAGGTCTGGACCTTGGTCGCTTTCTCGAAATCGATCTGGCAGGAAGAGAGTGGATCGTGGCAACGGTCGCCTGCAACGACGCTACTTGCTGAGTTAAGTGTGCTATTTGCTGCTGAATGTCCAGAGGGGGGTTCATAGCATCTCTACTAGAGGTTTGTACCGCGTTGATTCCGCGACTATCAGGAT